CTGTCATTTGGGAGTGTAATTCGTATACTGTCATTTGGGAGTGTAATTCGTATACTGTCATTTGGGAGTATGATTCGTATACTGTCATTTGGGAGTATGATTTGGCCTCTCTGTATGCCTCATTACACACAGCTGACTCTTCCTTACACATTGCGTTTGTGGACTGTGGCTGCAGCTGACAACTACATCATAAAGCACTGATTCAGTGCAAATGTTTTGCGTTTATAGCCGAACACTCATTTGTATATGCCAGTGAACCTCAGTTAGTGGTTCATTACAGGTTTAATCGGAATCACTGGGATCAGTTATTCAGAGGCCTATATATTTGATACAATACATGCAAACGACTTCATGAACATAACACATATGAGTAATTTAACAAATAAATCAGCCTTGCTGTCTCATCATGGTGTACCCTCATGTCTTTTCCCTGGAGGCAGAAATGGAGCAGATCACTTCAAGCAGCTGGGGGAAATGGTGGCGGCAACCAGGCAGGAACACAGCCTCTGAGCTTCATACTGTCGGAGTGCTGATGGCAGCATGTGTCCCTCCAGGTCTCTCCTGCTGATTCTGTTTGCTTCTCTCGTCTCTGCAGGAAGGCGTGTAATGCAGGGCTGTGCCGTTAGCCTTAAGCTATAGCGCTTGTCTTCTGTCTGTACATGCTGCTGCAGCTTGACAGGGATCTTAATGCCTGGATGATCTGCTTCCAGTCTTGTTTATATTGTAATCTTGTGAGCAGGTGGAAAATGGATATTTTATTTGGAAATTTCACCTGTAAATTGAATTGCACTAATTTGAAAGAATCTTGAAAGCTTTTTAAAAAATATTTATGTTATGGCAGGGTATTGACGATCTTCTACTAAGCGGCTTTCAAGACAAAGGGAACTTTATTACAAACACTACTCAAAACAAAAGACACACAAGGGGTCTAAACAAAGGCATGAAAGCAATACAAGTACTAATGAAGGCTGAAGCTAAACAGGAGAAACCGCAGACTGAGAACACAGATTTAGGACAGGGTTTACTGTGGGGACCTTCAAACTGCTAACACATTCAAACACACTTCATTAGCTGAGCGGGGAACTAAGGAGAGACAAGAACTTATATACAAATGTAACAAAGGCTAGACGAGGGACAGGTGTGAGTCATTAAAAAGTTCCCAAATATTAGGGACTAAGAGATACCATGAATACAGGACTTGGATACAAACTGGGCACACAGTTCAGGCAGGGAAAACCAAGAACAGTATAGACATTATGGACAACCACCTAACTAGAGTGCAGAAACACAAGAAACACGATATACGCACAAAGTCAACCAAAAAAGAGTCCTGGGGCACAAATAGCCTGGAACTCGCGATGTTCCAGGTTATATGGTTCTTTACCATGCATTCAGCCACACGATGACCCAAGAAACAAGGAGATCTACTCTATGTGCACTATGATTGGGGTTAAACCTAGGGGAACACAGGGAATCGAACGGGATGACCAGTGACACCCAGTGGCCAAACAGAGAAGTGAAGGACAGAAATGGACAAAGTAAGGACTGATCCTGACAATTTATTGTATGGGCCTACAATAACTTATCTTCTAATACATTTTGAATTGCTTCATCTTAGAGCTAGGTATGCAATATCATTAGCAAAATGTATTAAATATAAAGTACGTACCAAATGTACCTAATACATATGTTTGGGTTACGATGTCCATTAACCTTTCTGAAAACTCATCTGTAGGTTTTATATAAATACAGTATAAATAATCTGTCTTGTATTTCGCCATTGAATGGGGTGCTGTGCGGTGAGATATGAGAGTAAAATTACTCCATTGTAACAGAACAAAAATATTCTGCAGCATTTATCTTGAAAACACGGATCCAGTAAAGATGGGCAGCAGGTACTGCAATGTTGTGCTTGAGAACAAGGAGCCCGATCAGGATGTTATGTAAATGAGCCTCTCCTCATTGTGGGTCTGGATTCAGGTAGAGCAGACGAGCAGTCCTCTCACCGAATGAGACGAGACACGCAGCCAGCCACAGCACAGCCACACTCTCCCACCGGGGGAATGTTCTAGCTGCCTGTACTTGTCGGCTTTGATTTTCTTGTTGATTGACCTTCACAGTGGCAGGTAGGAGTCTTACAATCCGTCACTAACAAAAATGCACCTCTGCAAGTCAATGAGTCATCAGGAATCCTCACTAATTCAAAGTGTTTATCCAATGAAACACATCTCCAAAATGTATCATTTTTAACATTAATTATCCAATATCCATGGTCATGGGGAAATTCTTATTCAGTATTTGACTGCCTAAAGCAATTAATCCTTATAGATTAAATATCTACCTCAAAGAATTCAGTTTGGAAATCCTTTGTTCCAAGCTTCTTGCTTGGTGAAAATTCCTATAATGAGAATTAATTCCTTACTACTTTCCATGTTGTTTGTCCAAAGGTCAAATATTTCTCCCACAATACACAAAGTTCTCACTGATACAAAATATAATTGAATCTAAATATAAAAATAATATTCTGATTATGTATTTTATATCATATCTCACATTGACTTTACCAATAGGAATGGAGTGTTTTGGGGCCAATATCCCATCAGAACACCCCACTGTTATATTTTAAGTTATTTAATTGTTTACGATGATCGTGGGTGTGATTTAAAACAGTAAGAAAGACTGAGGTTCCAGTCATTCAGGTGTGCCGCCATATCCGAGGAAAACAGCGAGATCCAAGCAGCTCACAGCAAACGAGTGGGAGAGCCAGGAAGTTGGCTGAAAATTAGGTTATTAGCTAGAAAAAAACATGAAATTGAACGCCTTTTAAAGCATTTAACACGATCAATAATAAACATTTTGTACAACATGGGTATAATCAAAGCACTCAATATCCTTATTCCATCTTATTATGCTAAGACTGAGGAATTCCTTTAAGAACTGTCCTTATGAAATATCTACCCATTATCTGATTCTTACTGAAATCAATCTAAATAAACCTAGATAAGTTCATTGTTTAAGTGGTAAATGTAATTGATCACTGATTAATGAACTGACAAAGGATATGAATAATACATCTATTCTGTATTGTGCTTCCCATAAACAATACAATGAACAAGAATCTCCATTTGATTGTAGACAAATGATTGCACTTGAATTTTTATTATTATAATTATTATTTTTGCATTTATTTGATGGTGGCGGGTACATTGCTTGTCCATCTATGTGTACATAACACAATACAGGCACAATTTCAGCATCTTTATCATAACTCATGATCATCTCTTGCACATCAAGGAGACTCAAGCTGAATTCTTATGATCGAGGCTTCATGTTGACAACAAAGATCATCGCCGTGACTAGTCAGACACAAAGCATACTGTATACGCTCTTATCAAAGTGCACTATGAATCAGATTATATTACATTGTGGAAAGGCCATCCAATGCAGGGCTATGGGAAATATACCAAATACACCATGATTTTGTGGTACACCATTAACAGAGTGATGGAGCCTGGCCAACTATGGTAGACTACACCCAAATAATCCACCGTCAAGTGCATTTGTTAAAAAAGGGGAAAAAATGGTAATATTTCCACAACACCTAATGACATTTTATGTATCTTATATATACAGTATCAATGAAATGGTATTTGCTATTGTACAATCTTTAATGCATAGCACATTGCAAATCAGTATAACTACTTTGTTTAATATAAGCAACTCTGTGAAACTAATCATCCTGAGTTCAGAAATTAATTACATCCTTCAAAAATTAACATGATGAAGGTGAAAGGATGGGAGTGAAATCTGCCTATCTGCAGAGACGAAGGAGTGGGTGTAGACGAATGAGACCGATAAGGCAGACGGGGTTAAAAAGAGGCTAAAGATCTTCAAAAAAAAGTGACAACAGCTACCGGTGTGCATACTAGGCTGCAATGGGACCGCAGAGAATGAATGGGGATTCATTTCCTGGCACAAATGAAGATTCCACGTGCCCTTTGGCAAGGATGCGCATAACTGGCGATACGGGTGGCAATTTCATGCCATAGCAGTGCAGATGTGTACTTATTTTATGTGCATTTGCACTGCTATGACAAGAAATTACTGTGCGTTGTAACCTTTATGTGGCTAATTTGTACTTCATTTGCAGTATAAAGGTTAAAATGCATGGTAATTTCATGTCAGAGGAATGTACATAAGCATGTACATAAAATAAGTACATGCTGTTAGGACAAGAAACTGCCACAGGCATTGCTTTACGATGTGAATGTGAACTTGTGTAGCAGTTTTCTGCATCCTTGTCTATTTGACATACTGACACAGAAATGCACGCCTTATTTAAGTATGACAACTGTGTCTCTGTCGTATAGCCTGGGGGCACCAGGGAGAAGGAGAGGAATAAATCGCCATGTGGGTGGTAATTTATAACAGTCAGATAAACTTAGGGAGCTGATGGTGATTTTCTTACAGTTTTGAAAACTTGGCGCAATTTTATGTGACGCTTTCAGGAGACAATCGATCATTCATTTCCAAATGTCTGAAAACTTGTTTAATATTTGATGCTGATGATGAGGATCATGTGACAAGGAACAACACTGCAGCACCATTTTCCTCAGCACCATTTTTACCGTGGTTACACGTGTGGCATGTAAAACTCACAGCCTCTTGGTCGCTTGACCTCAGGCGGCACAGTGTTGCGTTAGCAAATCTAAAATTCGCTGAGTCACGGAGAATAGTATTTTTCATATAAGGCCAAATTCATTTTGAATATTTCTTTTTTCCCAGCATTCTTCAGCACTCTCAGACTCTTCAGGCTAATTTTGTGAAGTAAAAAACAAATTGAAGGGATCTACACTTACCACAGTCTATCCTTCTTGGCAAGAATATATTTGTAAAAAGAAGAGAAAATGCATACTTGTACATGAAAAGGTCGAATGTATGTATATATTTTGTTTTTATGTAATATACGTTAGCACCATCTTTACATATATACAGGGATGTTTGGATATGCAAGTCTTTGCAAGGCACTTGCTGATTTTTCTACCGTACTCTTTACTCATTTCCTTCCTTCCCTTTCAGTTCCTCCTTATTTCTTCAGTCTATTCATTGTAAGGAAATAATAACCAACATAAAGAAGCATGAAGCAGTTCCTTGATAAAGGTGATTATCTATTCACACAGGTATCTCCTAATCATCTGGGAACATAACGTTTGGCTTTTCAGAGATTCAGCAGGCATCGGATAAGCATGCAGCTGATTCCTGTACACCAGTGTTTCCCAATCCACTCCTCGGGGATCCACAGCCAGTCCACGTTTTTTCTCGGGGAGGGAGCAAAATCGTGGACCGGCTGTCTACGATTGACCGGATTGGGAAGCACTGCTGTACACTGAATTCCATACTGTTCATCACATTCCAATCACTTCACTTCCTATGGGCACATTCTTTTTTGGGCCGTCTCCTTCATCGCCGCCTGGAGGTAACATCGAAGCACGTGATCATCATCAGGTGCGCCTTGCAGAAGTTAACGCGGCTCTCCAGACGCCCGGTGACACACTCCAGAGCCTCCAGGTACTCCACCGAGTCCACCTCAAACGTCTGCTGCAAATCAACTGCAAAGTACGCCAGACAAGGAGAAGTGTTTCTACCACTGTCACGTCTACCTCGAAACATTAAAATAACCCAGATGCTCTTCCAGGTCAGTGTTGTGGGGGGGTCTATCACAGGCATTATAGGACACAAAGCTGGGGTGTACCCCTATCAGGATTGTCAGCCGATCACAGAACACATACACACAATACTACTCTGTGGGAAATTTAAAGATGCAAATCAGCCTAATTGCATGTCTTTGGACTGTGGAAGGAAACTGTGTGACACTGGGATGCTAAAATAATATTTGCATGAAAACATAAATTACTTTTTCTATTTATAACTACTGTGCCCCTTAAGGGACCTGTGCAAAAAAGTAAAATGCTTTTACTTTCTCACGCATATGACTTTGGCGTAGACACGACATGCTTGTGCGCGCAAACAAGATACTTTTGTGTGCATGACTTACTTTCGCATGCGCACGAGATTATGAGTAAGAGCATTTTATTTATTTGCACAGGGCCCTTAAGGGCTCTGTATATACCTGTCTTCAGTCTGACTCCTAAAAATCCATTCAGATATTCTCATTGACAGTTGGTTCAGTTCCTAACCTCTGGCAAAACAATGTATATTATTATTTAGATCCAGATATTCTATACAAGTCCCAGGGTATTTCTGTAGCTCTTGTCCATAGCCATGTTGCACCTATTTGAGTAAATCCTGCTAGGGTCAATTTCTAGTGTTTATACCCAGGAATATTGATGTTGAAATACGAGACCTGAGGAGTCTTCCACGTGTTTTAGAAATGAGAAGTTCAGGGAACTCAATGCATCAGAATGGAATCTATTTCCATAAAGGAAAGTTAACTCGCATCTCATAACATTTACAAAGTGTCTCTGTACGCCTTGAAACATGGCAGTGTGAATGGGGCTGCAGTAACTCACATTCACTGGTCCACTTCTCCGGCGCCAGCATCAAATGCTGCTTCGTCTGTTCCAGCTCCTTCTTCAGCCAGTCGTACCGTGCCCGCACCTCCAAGATGCGCTGCTGTCGGTGCTCCAGGATCTTTAGCTTGGCACTGAAGAAGATCACTTCCTGCAAATAGAACCATATAAATATATTGGTGCTTCTGTTCCGGCCCTCTCCAATCCTGCCATTGACATTTTTATATAAGATTGACTGTAAAATACAAAAATGTATTCTACCAAGTAATGATTTCCCCACTGTACCTTGGAGCCAGCAGCCCTCCTCCTCTGCAGACGTTCCACGTCATCGATCTCGTAGACCTTGATCTCAAAAGTATCGGTCAGGCCTCTCTGGCCGGCTCGCAGGGGGCCGTCCACCCAGCGGCCTCCAGGACTCAGAACTTGCTTCCTTACCGGTGAAGTCATGTCAAAGGAGAGTGTAGGGATCAGGCGGCGCCGCTGTGAACCTAAGCAGTGAGGAGCCAGATCATCACAGACCAGATATATATTTATATTCAATCATATATATATATACACATAATTTCCCTCATGTCATTTACTGTACACTGTAGATCTATAATTTTATTATATATATATATAATTTTGGTCAATTAATTTTTTGATTCAAATATAATGCCTTTTTAAAGCCAAAGAATGATATTGTAAATTAAATTTACCTGTATTGTTCCTTTTCTTTTGGTTTTTGGCACTCCTACGTCCACTCACAGAGCTACTGTTGTCGCTCATTGAATCTTGGGCCGAGGATGTACTGCCTGTGGCCTCGCTGTCACGCATCATGCTCTCATAGCCACTGCTGCCTCCGCTGTGATAGAACAGGGCGGTCTTCCCCATGGCTGGAGGTAACTCTCCGCTTAGGATGCTGCTGTTGTCGCTGGCATGGCCACTGCTGCAGCGATGGGGCTTGCGCGGAGCTGTGATCTTGCTGTATGGGGACGGCAGAGCACTGGCTACCTGCTTCTCCTCCCCCGGGAGCCCAGCCCGCGCCTCAACATCTAACGGTCCCCGAGCTCTGGAGCCTATGCTGCCCTGGAGGAGTTCAGAGATCCGCCCATTCACTGCCCTCAGGGGGAGCTTAGAGGCCAATCCTGATCCCCGACTTCGACTCAAAGACTGAGTTGACCAGGAGCCCTGATTCTGGTTCTTTCCATTTGGTGGTAAACTGGAGCTCCTGTTGACAGATTGTGGGAGAGATTTAGTTGAGAAACTGAGGGTCCGAGTGCTGGATGCGGACAAGCTTCGGGCCTTGGGGCTGACCATTAGGAGTTTGCTGACTGCAGAGATCTTGGATGGGCTAGCCTTGGGTGACAGCAGCGTATTACTATTCCCATTACTGTGTCCATTAATTGTTGAGGACACAGAACTCCGCCGAAGGCTTCGGCTCAGTCTTGGCATACTGCATTCCTTCCCCGTACTGCTTCTCGAGCCAACTGAAGTCAAGCTATCTGCTCTCTCCAAGGACAGGCAGTCACACTGCCCTGCATTAGACCTTCCCAGAGAGTTAGTCCTGTTAGCCAACTGCTCAAGCTTTGCACTAAAAAGTCTGCTGCTCTCACCACTGCAACCTTTGTTTTTCACACAGTTTCCAGAATCATCAGTTGTGCAACGTAGGAAAGACTGTGTCAAGTTTGATGTTGAAGTGTTGCTAGTGACACACTGGACGCTGGCTCGGTTTTTCTGATCCAGGCTGGACTTCCTTATTGGTGGTAGTGGTGGGATTCCCTTTACCTGAGCAAAGACTCCTGGCTTTGCTGATGGTCCCCTTTTTTCCAGAGTAGCCTTTGGTCTACATGGTGTAGAGGTTGTTACACCCAAATTGTTATATTCGCCATACAAGTAAGAATTAGAAGGGTCCTCATTATTATCCTGTCTGTTGGCACGACACCAGCCTCTTGGAAGGCTGGATGCCCTAAACATATGAGCTGTATGGACAGGTGGCAGGATTTCTGCTGCATTCATGACTATATTACTGCCGTCCACCACTCTTTTCAGAGAAGCAGAGGAAGCCACTTCCCCAGGGATTGACCCAAGCCTGCCATTTTGGCTCTGATTTATTCCAGAACAAAAACCCTTCTTCTCTGGTTTAACAGCACAAGTATTTTCTTTAAGCTTTATGTTATCCGTGTCTCTTTTCATCCAGGGGTCCTCAAATTTCATTCCACTGGAAATCGGAACAGGAGGCATTTTCACATCTTTTATTTGTGACATTTTAACGGATGGTAACGGTTCAGCAGAGTCCTGTATTACTGCTGGTTCAGCCGTGTCACAAGGATTATCAGAGATATTCATTTTGATGGGTACTATGTTTTTTGTGTTCCCCGGATTTTGTGAATTAGAAATGCCAACCACGTCTTTTCCTATGGGAGGAATGTCTTCACTTACTGGACACTTTTCATTCACTTTTGAAGCTGTAGTGCAACCATCAGTTGCCAAGGTGACCCCTTCCCTTATTAGAATGTGGCCATCACTGAGGGCAACCTCTGAAAGTTCAGGTTTAAGGGGTTCGGCCAAAGCTTCTCTTTGGCTACAACATGACTGAACAATGACTCTACTAAAAGCCTGATCTTCATGACTGCTGGTGCTCACATTCTGGAGCCATGAGCTGATGGAGTACTCACTGGAGAAGTCTTCTTCCGCGGAGAAAGGAATGAGTTTGGTTATTGCTGAAGTTGTGGTCATGGAGGAAGTGACAGTGAAGTGATCCAGATCTTCACTGATACTGCTGATGATGCTGACGGGCCTGGATCCAGAAGCCAGTGCCTGAACTGAACAGTCACTGTTGAAGCTTATGATGCTGGTGGGCCTGCCATCCTCTGTCATGGCGTTGATGTTAAGCTCTTTCACCAGGCTGAATACCAGCTCATCCTCTCCATTTAGCTCCAGTGGCTGCTGTACAGTCAAGGTAGTGCTGCTTCTTAGTTCTCTCTTGTTCTCCAATGAAGGCTGAACCAGAACTTCAGTCAAAATTTCACTTGAGTCCAAACTAATTGAAGAGGAGTTTCTTTTTAGGATTTGAGAACTCATACCAACAGGGGAAGTTCTAGTCTCAAGCTGAAGCAAAGACTCAGTAGAAGACCTTTCAGTTTCCCTACTCAAACTCTGCGATGATGACAACGGAGTACAAGGAAAGATCCCTTTTTGGGTGTATACCTTGCAGCGCTGAGACGGTGAAGATGCTGGCCTGTGCTCAGAAGTTTTAGTCAAGCTAGCAATGCCTAGCCTTGGGGAGCCTCCAGACCGTGGTTTGCTCTCACTATGGCTGGTGGCACTCATGGACTCCACACCGTCATGGAGAGTGGAACCTTTTTTTTCAAACTCGTCGCTGCTACTTCCTGTCACACATCTACTAGGTGACAGTTCGCAGCTGTCAGCTGCTGCCTGAGAGAGTCTGCAGATTGTAGACTGTGTGATCACTGCCTCTACCATCACCTCTCCAGTCTCCTCCAACTGCTGGTCATATGATGCCATCTTGCCTAGGCGTGTCTCCAGGTTGTTTTTAACCATGCTATTAGAGAATTCAACTTTGGCCACATTGGTAGGTGGAACCTCCTCAAATGGGAAGCTGCTGATCTCTTCACTGCCATCGATGCACTCTAGTCTTTCCTGCAGCTCAGCAAATGTGTTGCACTTGAGACAGTCCTGCTCACGCTTGCCCAGTTGCGAATCATCGCCCAGAGGCTGCTGCTGAGGCTGTTGAATTAACTGTGGATCCAGTGTCAGCTGAGGTGATGGTCTCACTCTCTCTGCCTTGTTCTTGTGTAGCGAGGGTATGATGGGTACAAATTCTGGAGGGCCCTCATTGTCCGTCAGCTCTTTGTCTGACAGAGCAGAACCATTAGGCCCCACATAGATGACTGTGTCACATGACTGCTCACTGCTGGAGTAGTCATCTGGGTCACTGGAGAGCTGTAGCAGAGGCAGGTCGGAGTCCACCACATTGCGAGAATGTAGGGTTCTCAGTTGGGTCGGCCGACGCATCCTCCCCTCCTCACAGGAGCTCTCCCCACCAGATGAGCTAGAAGTGTATTGCTGATGTGAATATGGAAAGACAAGCTAAGTCAAAGATCTGTCCTGTAACATGAAAAATTACCTTTGAGTATATATAGATTTAGTTACGATGAAAGAGTTGTGGTAAGTGCACAAAGGACATATCTGAACCAGACTATATCAGGCACATACTTTAGTCTTCTTCTTCTTCATTCTGAGCACTCTTGAAGCTATCTGGATTGTGGAGAGCGTCTCGGAGAAGTTGCTGGGCGAGCTGGAGATGTGGGCGATCATGGTGGTGCGGCAATTAATGTTGCCCAGGGATTCCCTTAGCAGCATGGTCAGCTTACTATCCCTGCGACACACATACAGGAACTACTTTAGTGGGCAGAACTCAGTCCTCCTACATTGGTCATGCAATCCAATTGTACTCTGATATATTTACACTGCTTCACGCTCCTAGCTCCTGATAAATGCAAAGCAGTTTCAGCACGCAGACCCAGAGATGCACTATAGGCTGATTTGTATGTGTGTCTGTATATTTGTGTGTGGGGTGGGTGAGTGTATGTCTCTTTAATGGTGTTTCCTTCATTTTTTATTTCTTATTTACTTTGGTATGTCCTAGGTTTACAATGTTTTCTATTGTAAGTCTTAAGATCTACTTCAAGCAGATCCGAACTGAATGGAATTGGCATGATGCGTTCTCAGAATTCCTTGATGATGTGTTAATCCTCTGACAACAGCTATTACAGATGATAACTTTGGAAAATGTTTGTAGATGTAAGAGGTGGTGAGTTGGCTAATGCTTCCCTACTCTAAAACACGCTGTCAGCCATAATTAATGTATTTACCTTCTGAGAGAGACCATTCAGCAATCCCCATGGCCACTAATGAGATGGGGATATAATGCTGTTTCAACATAGCATACACTGTCACTGTGCTTAACAGAATTAGTTTCCTGACAGAAGATCTGTAGGACTGCAGCTACCATAGTAATTACATCCTGATTATCAGCTAATATCTGAGGAAAGGCATACCATAGAACAAGGTACTTAACCTTAATTGTTGCTACCAAAAATCCTCCAGTATTTAAATAGATGTAATTAAAATTTCATTATAATGAAAGATGGCAATAATTCACAAGTCGTATGTCATTTATGAAACCTCTATTTTTAAAAGGTTATGATAATGATCATTACTGTGTATAATTCTTTAAAACTACCTAATACCTGGATATTTCATAAATGCAATTAGTCCGACTGGATATGTAATTTAAAATCCTCATAATCAGAATCAGAATCAGAATCAGCTTTTATTCGCCAAGTGTGCTGGGGCACACAAGGAATTTGTTTCTGGCAGCTTGATACTCTCTCGTACACAGACAATAAGCGACACCATACAAACAATAAATTACACTGTACAAGAAATACATATGTGATAGATTATAAATATTATAAATATACACACGTGGGTGAATTGATTGTTGTACACAGACAGGCCAGTTTGATGCATTGTGCCTGATATTCACGTATCCATGAGGTAAATGACATGTGCTAATTGTTAAGTGTTAATTGGTCTTGACATCTTAATTAAGCAATGAGTGGGCACGTACTAATAGGAACAAATAACTACCATAGCAACATGGCATTAGTTACACCAGCCTTGTGTACTTTCAAACCACTTCCTATATTAACAACTTCTGGTGACTGATTACAGTTAATGATAATTAAGACATGGGGACTTAAGATAAATGAAGCTACTTCAGGGACATAAAGGTGTAGTGGCAGTAATTTGATTTTGCAATGATGGGATAATTAAAAGGTAAATTGTTTTAATTCAAGACTCAAGCACTTGATTGTCATTGTGTAAAATTACTTTTTTGACTTATTCCTTTTATTACTTTTATGTGTGTTACCTGTGTTTTGGGGTGATACAGCATCACTGGGGTGTATCACTTGGGATGGGGGGGAGGACATTTAATCCACTTCATGCTCCACAGAAGCACGCTGCTTATTGTTCTAGGTCAAAATGATTTTTTCTGCTCCTCAATCATACACAATTAGATCCTTTAAAGTGTCTCGTTATAGGGGGATAACAAAAGAACAAGGAAGTGGAATGGTCGGTATTTCGCTTAAAGTGGATTAAATATGAGGTCAATGACATTCACCATGAAGTCACATCAGTCATAGCTGCATACCTGCATAATGTCGCCATGCTTGCTGTTCCCCCTAAAACCGGGCTCTACTTGGCAATACAAGTGTGCCGAATTTAAATTGCAGCTCTGCGGCGCGAGCTCTGGGTGCCAGAAGTGGGGCGGGAGATCCGGCATGTCATAAAGCCCTTCCTGCTGCGATGTCCCCAGAGTGGAGGCTCGCATGGTGCCAGGAGAAGCAGAGTTGCCCCATCTCCACCACGCCTACAGTCCAGAGTGAAGCCACGGATATGAAAGAGCAGCCGCCCCTGTGCTCTCATTCACTCGGCTCGTCTGTCAGCCCGCGGAGCCACAGTATCATTACAATGACCTGACTGTGAAGAACACAGAAGCTAAATTCAGGTCAGATTCACACCTTTTCTACAGCGATTCCGATCATATGTGCACCTGCTGGAATTCGGGAAGCACCTTGAATAAATTGCTATTTTGTCACAGCACAGGCGGGAAAAAGGTAACGATCCATACTGTATGTGGCTCCGAGACAAACAAGGATTTATTGAATTACACAGAACAAAAAAAAAAGTCACAAGAATAACAGGACCACAAGAGGCCAAAAGCAGGGAAAAAATAAGAACCAACTAAAGAAACCATAAAATAAACACCAGGGAACAGAAACACAAGGAGTAGGACTAAGCACCAAACATATCTCCTAACACACAGTACCATGAACACAGCTGCCATGCAGACACATAGCACACAATGATAGACTAAAGAACTGAGCAGGGGCAGGCACTTAAATACGATACGCATCCAGGCTAACGAGGGGGGCAAGGTGTGGAACATCAGGCAATCAACCAATCACAGACGCAGGACAGCAAGCGACGGATGGAACAATTAGCAAACACTGAACCTCGAAAATATAAACTGGGAAGACTACACTTAAGACACACAAAAATACAAACAGGACTAGAAGAGAACAGGACACGAGCATGACAAACCTGAGATAGGGAAAAAAAAAGTGAAAAGTAAACACAATGGAAACAAAAAAAGCAATAAACAAAATAACAGATAGTGAGCCTGAAACATATGATCAGAGGGGTAACAGTCTCTGAGCTGCACACTCAACCCACAGAGCTATGCAGCGGTCTGTGGAACAGGGAAACACACTAGGGACTTAGGCATACTGGGGCTAAAGGGCAAGAGACAAGGAGGAGGACAGGACGGCCAGCGACCCCTGCTGGCCAAGCGGGGAGGGGACAGCACCAACCCTGACATATTTTCTTAAATAAATCAAGCATTTTCTGCGTCTTAGGAATAAATATTGTTTTAGGTACATCAGTGATACCTAATTATATCTCTATCTGAAGATGTGAAAATCACTCAACTCTGGAACTCCCTAAATTGCAAAATTGCTTCTTGAAATCGACTTCATAAATATTGGCTCTAATTATGAAACTGCTAACCCTTAAACCTCAAATTCCATGTGTGATTTTATTTTATATTAAGCACCCTGGGAGTGTTGACAGTGTGTATTGATCCTCACTGGCAGGCTATGCGTGAATGCACACACTCACAGACATGCAGAATGGCCTACGCACTTGTAAGGGATGTGTTTGCTGCCGTTGACCAGGGCCAGGATGACATTGCCCAGGGCTGTGAGGGAGAGGCAGGGTCCGGCAGGGCCGTCACGGGTCTTGCTGGGCACCTTAGCACAGCTGCCCAGGTCAATCAAGTGCAGCCTACTCCGGCCCCCCGACACTAAAGGGGGGGTGGAAAGGGAGGAAAATTAGAGGATAAACAGGATAGAATAAAGAGAGCTGATTAGAGTAATAGAGAAGCAATTTGGAAATGGGCTCCTGAATTAATATTGAGTTAAAGCAGTTCATATAAACGTGGCACAAAATGCATTGTATGCAAGGCAGTAGGAAAGGTACTTGAATCAGCCGGCCAAGAGTGAAACCAATCAGTTATGCGAGCGGCAGAACCACGCTCATTCTGGTAGTTAATTCCCAGCATGCTCTCTGCTTCCTGAATCACACACTCACAAGCAGAATTAAGTCAATTTCCCTCCTGACTTTGACATGGTGACCAGCCTCACTGCACCAGCAAAGGCTGCAGACAGCATCACTGCCATCTGTGACACTTTCCTTGGAAGCATGTCTCAGACAGCAAGGGAATGTCTGACCTGTCAGTTATAACTTTATCACCAAAGCACCTGTAAACATGTACTGTGTGTAAACTAGTCCCCTGGCACGGTGTATGTGAACAGGAGACTGGTGTCAGCTGGAAGACTGACTTGGGTATTTTCTATTAACTATCCATCAAGTCCGTGCTAACTGGCAAGCACTAACAGACGCCAGAATAGCACAGAATAACAGCTTGAGATGAAGCTGGCAATGGTAAAAAGGCTTTAAGATGAAAGACCCCTGACAGAACAGAAATAGACCCTCAGTATGGCACATAAAGTCCTTTCCCTACATGGAAAATAAAGGCTTTTCAGTGAGAAAGTAAAAAAATAAATAAATAAAACCATGAAATACAAAACATTCCTTACATCAGCAGTGGCCAACCTTATCTGCAAAGGGCCGGTGTGTATGCAGGTTTTTGGGGTAACCTTTAGGTCAGCTGTACAAACCCAGGTGTGAGGACTCTACAGCCAATCAGTCCTCTAATTAGTAAACTAGGGCAGGGGTGTCAGACTCCTGTCCTGGGGAGCCAGAGTCCTGCACATTTTTGGGTTTCTCCTCATTTAACACACCTGATTCAACAACTTGTGCTAATTTTCACACAGCTCTTAAGCTGAATCATTTGTGTGGGAACAGGGAAAGAGCTAAGCTACACAGGGCTCCGCCCCCCCAGGAATGGAGTTTGACACCCCTGAACTAGGGAGTTGCAGTGAAAACCTGCATATACAGCGGCCTTTTCTGGGTAAGATTGCCCACCCCTGCCTTATATTTGACATTAACTGAGAGATATAGAAGCAGAGTGGTTTGGTGTCAGCTATTCTCAGGTCAGGGTGTCACATGCCCTGCGCTGAAACACGCTGTTCCACATACACACAATGCTACTTTTTTTCCCTTTAATTAAAAGAACATGAAGCTACATGAGGCCTCCTAGTTGTGCAAGCCTGGTGCAAGTGGGCAACCAGACCACAGCCTGGTGCAAGTGGGCAACCAGACCACAGCCTGGTGCAAGTGGGCAACCAGACCACAGCCTGGTGGTCTTTTTACGATAACAAGAATTAGTCACATCCTCTGCAGATTCCGGCTGTAGGTGATTGGTGTTCAGAGGGTTGAAATAAGATGTTTAGGTGTTTTTTTTTGAGACTTTTTTTAATATGTATGTTTATAGTCACTACTCAGATCTGAAATGCATTATCAAAATCAGCTTGAGCTGCTGACATAGGCTAATGAGATATCCAGGAGGATGCAAATTTGAAGAAACTGCTACAGTACCACAAACATAATTTAACCTTTTGTAGTATGGAAGAGGAAGTCTTAGAACGCAAGCCATCTTAAGGGGAATATTTTTCTGTGAGTGCTCAGTCCATAAAGAAATGCTGACTGAGACCTTTCTCCCCTCTGGAGGATTCCGAAATATAACCTCTGCTAGGACAGACTTATTAACAAGGATGATTCTTGCTGGAAATAACAGAAGAAGAAACAGAATTAAATAAGATTCCAATTAGTTATACAGTACAGTAGTTATTTTCAAGCATCCCTGGGCCCTCTTGAGGCCATCAGCATATCCAAACTCAACCTTACACTCTAAAGTCCTGTTCACACCTGGTATTGACATGCACCCTGGGTGAGCGGATCAGCACTAAATACAGGTGTGAACACACCCAAACCGCATGGAAAACGAATCAAGATCCAATCGCTCAAACCACATTCGAGGGTGGTTTGGGATGCATATGGAAACATTCTTATAGCAGTATCAACGCAAATGTGTCCTGGGTCGCATTGAAGGACCGCCTACTCAGCTGATGTCCGCGAGTACATACGTATTCTTTAGACACGCAAATGGTATCGAACATATGATTTATGTCAGAATGCAAGTCAGTGCAGAGTGGGCAATTGTGTACTAAACTGCAACAACGCATCTTTTCCTCTACAACACTAAAAAATACGTGTGATTTTTCTGGGTAGTTGGTTTAATATCGCACAGTCGCGACCCATTCAAATGGAAACGTTGTCAGAAGTGTGCATCATTAATGTTCCATGCAAATTCGTGAAAAATAAATAGTGTAAGAAGTGATTTATTAAAGATGTTTTGAAATTTGCAGAGATCATATTTAATGCGTACTTTGATGAAGCTATCTTATTTATGTCAAAGCTACTCCATACTTTCTTAATATTAGTGAAATTACATGAATGCAAAATTAAAGCGTTAGCGGTAAGAATGTGTTCAATAGCCTAGATAATGGATATATTAATAAAAACATATAATAACAGTGTGATAATTTATATAGTTTTATATCGAGTTGTTCGGGTGCTTGAACTCCCGGTCAGAAATTCAGTCCGATCCCAGCCCTGACTAACTCGCTTCTTTTACTTAACTTTTTCAGTCAGACATGATTCAGCGTATCAGAACCTCTTCGATTTTCATCTTCATTGGTTATGAATAAAAGCTGAAATATTATCATATGCCAACCAACACAATGCATTACAGACTGAACCCTTTGCCCTGGAATAGAAAAGTATTAGCCTAAGCACTGAAAGAGTTTTTTAATACGTAAATTTGTGTTGTGTTGATGTGGCATAAGAATGCATGCCTGCAACGTGAAAAGTTGAATGTTATTGTGAAAAAATATTTGGAATTATTTGAGAAATCACATGTGCATTATGTGAAATAATATTTTATAATAATCACTGTCGATTGAAAGTCACAGCGATATTACGAAATGCAATTTAAAGATTATACGCAGAAGATAAACGTTAGCAAGAAATATAATACCAATTATGAGGTGAGATCCGATTACAAGTGATCAGTCGAGACGCAAGCGGAGATGCATCTTAAGGCCAGGTGTGAATGGACGTATTTAGTGCTGTCCACTTAATATCAGATCACCCAGGACACTCACTGCCGCCCTTCCCGGCCTTCTCCATGCGGTACTGGTATATGTGCAGGGTGAAGAGCATGTGTGACATTCGGTGATCTTCCTCGCTGCAGCCAGGCCTGCTGCTGCGCCGCGCAGCGATGGCAGCGTCCAGGAAGAAGGCAGCTTTCTCTGGGGAGGGGGCTCTCAGCTCGCTCTGGTTCTGGAGCTGGGGTGGGTTGGAGGGGTTGGGTGAGTGGGGGGGTCATTAGTACGAAAATAACACACTTCTTGTACATTCCAATAACACGTCTTAATTACTTAGAGGAATAAATTGAAAGTTTATTTCTTTTACTTTCAATGCTGCAGTTATGCTCCTGAATAATTCATTAATATTAGACAGTTAAATAAAGTTTCATCCTTTCTTTCCAAATTTATTCTCAATTACCATAACAGAATGTGCTTTTTCATAAAGTAGTTTAAATGAAGTTTATCAACATATCATTAATCTTAGGGTGAACGTGACAGATCCATAGCAGTATACCACAACCATGTGCAGTATGTTAGAAGCTTGGAGGAACTGGTAGGAACGAGTTAATGTACATTAGCTGTTAAGGAAGATTAAACGGATGAAAAATGGAGAAATGACATGTTTATTTCTTATTCTCAGGATAGAATGACAGATACGGTATCTACGCAAAAACTCATGTAGCCAGTTTACATTAGCATTTCATTTAACATTAAGGACTTTCTGAAGATGACAGAGGCACAGAAAGTACTTCTCATTACAGTGAGTAGCATTGTCTAACCTGCATTCCGCAGATGGGGTCCTCACAAAGGTAGATACCAGGACTCTGGTCGTCCTGCAGGCTGCCTGTTGCTACTTCAGACAGGAGATCCCTCAGGACCTCGTCCCGCCCCCAGACCTCCACAGCAGACACGCGTACGGAAAAGCGTGACCCCGTCTTCTCCTTCCTCTCGTTGATGAGCTTGAAGAGCCAGGAGATGGCACAGGGTATGATTCCGAGATTCTGCGTGGAGTCGTCTCTCCCGATAATGGTGTATGACTTTCCTGTAAGGCATGGTGATAGGCTGTCAGTCCTAAAAAATGCCTAAAAAACGTGAATCTCACTCATGATAAACCATGAGATTTCACACCTATGCTCAGTATATGTTACAGCCTTGGGAACCAAAACTCATTCAGTCCACAGAAATGGTTGTTACTTATAAACGTATCGCATACACCTAGTAAATTTTTCAAATTTGCTCTTCAGTTAATCACATGAGAAAAACAGCAGCTTTAAGACCTTCACTGAACCATAGGCCAAGCCATGTTGACTTCTTTGAATTGCCTGTCCTGCCAAAATATCTCCATGATCGACTTAAGAAATCTAGGACATTATAAACAACATACAAGGCCCTGAATAATGTTTATCTATCTATACAGTATATATATGTCCATTTCCCTTATGCTGTCCAGGCTTAGAATTAATATTTGGTTTGTATTCTGATTAATTTTGTGGTTAAGAATATGTGGAACTGCACAACTTTGAGTACATTAATTTACCGTGAAAACAGCTACGCTTATCTTAGATGAAATAACCACACTTTTCACAGCAATTTTCAGTTTGGCTGAGCATTTACCCAATTTTGCCCAATCTTCAAATGCAGGAAGAGATAATTACATGCTGCAATTAAATTGCTCAAAGGTATAGTAAATGCAATCAATAATTTGTCAACCCAAGCGATTGGCCATTTTTTAGAACTCCGTTATATTGCAGATACTGCTCTCTGTGTTAATTAAATTCTCTTGCAATTAGATCTTGCAGTCTTTTGACATCATCTAGATGGTGCTATAGCTGAATCCATTTTATTTACTCTACTAACAGCACTAAAGCTCAACACAAATCAAAAGAACAGCCACCATTTCAGGGGCCGCATTTCAAGTCAGAAGCATTTTTGGTGCATGAATTATCGGACTGAAGGCTTCCTCATTACCGTACCTCATATCTTACCGATCTACATTTTCATGCATATTTCATTAAAGAAGATCTGGTGAAATATAATGTTCAGTGGCAGTGGGCCACTCACTTCCTTCGGCTGAAGACTGTATATGTCAATCAAACATAAAATAAAAGAATGTCTTGCGTCACTTGTGCTTTGCTATCAAGATCCAGCAAAGATTCTAAGGCATTACAACTGTGAAAGTCAAAAAATACATAGTCATTAGACATTTTGTGAGCAGGCACTATACATTTATTATTAATGACAATTTTATTCTTTGCTTAGTCTCTTCATCCTCTCCTGTGATCTAACAATGTTTCACTTATCATTCCTCATGATGCTCAATTAAAATTAAGTTTCTCTTTTGTACTATGATTGAACTCATTTGCCTGTATATACTTACAGTAGATAAGTGACGCTATGCTTTTTCACATAGATAAGCAGGTACACACACTCAGATACACATATACATTTTCACTTGATCTTCCACACACTATTATAAAATTCAGCTCTTATCGAACACAATAAAAATGTGATGAAGATACACTGCAATTCTTCAGTGAGTTCTTCGCCATCTTCAGCTGAAATCAAGCCTGACAGCCATGCATGTAAACATTACATTGAAAGTGAGGCAAACATTGCACTCAAGTTCAGGACAAAATACAAGGAACTCCCCAAATATTCAAGTAGGGGACCTGTCACTATGAGCTGCGTGATGTAGGTTGGGCCCCAGCCCCCTGGACTGGCCTAGTTCCACTGATATGGGCCACATGCAGCTGTGCACATGTCTGCAGACAAGGTTGATCTAAGGCAGTGTTTCCCAATCCAGTCCTCGGGGAATCCCGGACAGTCCACGTTTTTGCTTCCTCTCAGTTCCCAGCGCACCCATACCAGGTATTCGGTGTTCCTGATTGACTGGGAGCTGGGAGGGAGTAAAAACGTGGACTGTCCAGGGTTCCCCAAGGCAAGTTTGTAACTTGAAATGTTCGTAAGTTGTTATTCAACATCATGTTAAGGGTGTACGCAAGAATAAAGAACTAGGATGCTGGGAGTACACACGCTACACTGCTGCACGGTGGGAGTAGAGGGCAGAAGTCGTACTAGGAGGAATTGGCGTGCAGAAAAAAAAAATTGATGTTGCGGACAGGAAACAGGAGCCCAAGGAAAACAATTTGCACTTACAGTCCTCTTTCGTTCGTATGTCTGAAAGTTTGTAAGTTAAAAGTTCATAAGTAGAGGAGCGTCTGCACTTACATTCATTCTCACACACAAAACTTAATCATACACTTTTATCCAGTGCACACTCATGATTTGTTTCTACACAAAAACATACACATATACATATTTGCTTGTACATACAGCATATTGCTAACAGAAAACACAAGTGGGTAACATTGTTATTTTATTTTGTTTTCACATAGCCAGCTTCTGCGACAAATCCATCTTTGGCACCTCCACAGACGCCCTCTCGCATGTCATACATGCCCTAAACCACCAGCCCCCACATGTCACTCTGACCCAGATCCTTCAACGAAAACACCACAACGTCTCCTTCCCATCTTTTACACCAAAGGCCCATTACTTGTAAGACCCAGGCTCCTTAAAAAGATTAATGTCCTTTTCTACATGGTAAAAACCTCTTAAAGATGCTCAGCGATTCCATCAGATTAATAGTGGGTGATGTAATGTGGGAGAAGCCTGCAGATACAATTACACCCTCAACTCGTTTTTATTATGCTGAGAACCTCCATTAAAGAATAAAAACACTTTATTGCACGTTGACATTTTGCCATTGTCTTCAGTAATCAACTGTATGTTTTTAAAACCTTCATAAATCACAGGTACAGATTTATTGCCAATCCATTATGTTTTTCTCGTGCTGATGGACTTCTCCTGCCCTTGTCTTATCAGACAAAGATGGCAAGGCAGAGTGCAACACTGATTTATTCAGCTTAACCATCAAGGCTGAGTGAAACAAGATCCGCTGTTACTTTAAGTACTGTAACAGTTAATTCCTTCAAAGTATGAGTGGACGAGGGTCATTCCTTTGGCATCATTAGTGGATATGGAGACAAAGAAAAAGCAAATTCATCGTCACGAGGGGAATGGGAAGCACTTAAGCAAGATAAAAGCCCTTAGCAGCACTTATTTCTGAAAAAAGTAAACATTCAGTCACCCTCCAACAGCTGGCTTCAGTCTGTAACACACTCACAGCCACGGGGACTTCAAAGCGCCCCCTGGGCCGGTGATGAGAGGCTGTGGCCCCCAGAGCAGCGAAGATACACATGTCAGCAGAAGAGCGCTTAGAGCATCCGGATGAATCAGACATTCCAACAGTGAGGGGGCCGAATGCCTTTTTTAAAGGATCGTGAAAAATTACAAAAACAACATTCCCCAGGGAGACAGGGATGATCGCTGAAATCCGTAAGTGGGACGCACTGACAGCTTCAAGATCAGCAGTAGAAGGTTTGATTGTTTTAAACATAAATACATCCATCAGTCCATCCATCATCCATAAACACTATGCTGGCAGTATAAATAGGTATAGATAATTAATTTTTTTTACATTTTTTGTTTTCTCAATTTTTCATTTATATGCCCATTTTGTACCGTGATTATGTGCTTTACAAGCTTAGCTATTTGGCATAGAAATCTGGCAAGTGACAGCTAAAATAATTACAATTAAATTTGCATATAGAAAGACAGAAATTTCAAATATTAATGTTTAGATTGGAGAACGATAAAATATACTTTGGTATGCATTAAAAAATAACATGTATATAAATGTACGGTGTTGAACGTAAAGTATGTCATTATAGTGCCATCAACCAATCAAGTTTGAAAATGAAATTAGATTCTCATGGTAAGGAAAATTCACAAAGAGCTGGAAGCAGATTCTGACCATAGCATAGAAATTGTGCAAAACCAGAGAAGCCACAGTGTAAACACTGCACACACACTCACCCAGCTTTGTGTGTCCAAAACAGAAAACGCAGCCGTCTGCTCCGTTGACCACAGACTGGATGACCTCTGCCACGGTGCCCGCACACACCTCAGCCTGGGCAGGGGGCAGCAGGGGGAGAGGGCTAAGTATGGCAGATTAGACCTTACAGCATGGCACACACTTCCAGATAGGTATCAGCATCAGTACCCTAACCCTGCTTTCCTGTTAGTACTGGTTCAGGAACTCCAGGCCACAAATGGAACAGCTTGGAGCGAGAACAAAAGCCAGGGAAGGGGGGGCTTTAGACAGCCCTAGAAATAAGCAAACCTGGGACGCCTCGTGGGGGAAGGTGGCATCAAAGGCAAACATCCTGGGGGGCACCTGGTTGCCGACAGTGCGCTTCTGCGGGGAGCCATGGGAGCCATGGGAGCCATGGGCCGCGCTGGCCACCGGTTCCATTATCGTCACCTGCTTCTTGCGTGGGTCCACTTTCAGGAAGGACCGCGACTCGGACGTCTCCGATGGCAACAGCGGGCAAACCCTCAGCATCACTTTGACCTAGACAGATTTTTTTTTTAAAAAAAAAAGCTTTAGCTTAGTCAGATACTCCATCATCTTAATTTTATCAGAGGATTTGGACATTAAAGCAAGTCTTTTCATCATCGGCACAAAAACCTTCTAAAGAACAAAGCTTTTCTGGTCTTCTGGATGTCAGACATTTTTTAATCTTCAATGGGGTGTGAAAGATCCGATAAACCCCCTGGTGCTTGCAGTCATTGTCTTGTTCTTCTTCACTTAAAAATGAGATGGCAGATGTTCAGCAAAAGGAAAACTGGTGAGATGCTCAAAAGGGTGCTAGAAGCAGCCTCCACACAGCCTGCTGCACCTGACACAGGAGTGCAGAGCAAGAACGGCACGGCTCTAAACTCCAGCTGAGGTCCACCTTCATATGACAGGTCCTTCAGAAGGTCAGCCAGCACAGGGAAAAACGGTGAAGATGAAAGTCCAGACTCCCAGTGCATCCAAACCTGATACAGTGGGGAATCATGGCATCCTGTGATGAATGCAGTGAAAAGGCAGCCACCACAGACCTGTGTTTAGATGTACACACTGTCTGGACATTAAAGTCTGTCTCTATCACTCTCATCCACAGCACAGATCTGTATCTTCCAGGCCCCGACCACCAGCCGTCATTCGCACCATGCATTGATCTGTCTCTTTATCGCACCTGCTTCTCTAGCCTCACCTACAGATGGGCAGCTTTGACACATTCATCCATATACCTGGCAGACAAGATTTATAACTATTTTTATATTTTCTCTGTTCAAATCTGCCGCATTACTTTAAAGCAGCAGATCTGCGATATTACGTACTCCATGGCAGGGGTACATCTGGAAAATGCTGCCTGTGTTTTGATGAAAAAAACAATTAATTTGAACCCTTTACAACAGCCTCGAAGAGAAAAGGTAGAATTTAAAGTCCTCTGTTTGTTATAGTACATTTACCTGCTGTTGCAGTTCCAGGACTATAGGAAATGTACTAGCGTGGCGTCTCTCCATATGACAGAACGATTCTTGGTGTGGAATTCTGGGTAATAGCCGCGCTGAAAGATGCCCCTCACTAGACAGGATACAGATGGCATCTTCCTGAAGGGCTAAGCAGCCCAAGCTTACTCTGACCTGAAGCTACACTAAATCGGTCCCCACAGATATTGCTTCTGACAGTGCTGCCCACTGATATATTTGTGTAGCAGTGCTCCCTTTTAAAAGTAAATTTGCCTGTGTCTGTGTCACTCTCGCCATCTGTTCACAATGAAGAACTGCAGCTTCCCCAGATGAATGGCCACATCATTCAGAACTGTTCATTTGTCCATTAGGTTTCCATCAAGTATGTTTTTTTTTTTTTACACAAGACACAGATGAGAAAAAAACAAGGTAAACCATTCCTGAGTTTATAAGTGAATACTGAATAGAACACTTATTTAATATTTTAAGTAATAAATATGGTTTTAGACTAGGGCACAATGCATGTTTTAAGATTCAGATGACCATGTTAGCTGGGAATGTAGAGGAAAGACAAAAGCATAAAGAGAGATCGGTAACACTTTACGAGAAGCCACACAAATAACATAGCATTATACCATTACTTATGTATTAATTAACCACAAACTAAATCTTAGTTACATACTGATCTCATGTTAATTCATCATTAATGCATGTTTTATCTCAGGCAGTTACTATGTTTGTTACTATATCGAATTCTGTAAAAATTTGTGAACTGCTGAAGCAACAAGTCATGAATAACACAAGTGAAATACTGATCTCATATTCGTTCATCATTAATTAATCATAATGCATCTTTCATTACAAGCAGTAACTATATTTGTTACTATATCTGTTAATCCTGTAAACCTTTGTGAACTACTGAAGGAACAAATAATCAATAACACAAGCTAACGTTTGCCCACCATTAATGAACTGTGACACACCTTTTGTCTGAAGTAGCAACTCAAGTTCGTTCAGAATATGTTCAGAATTTGTACTTTAGTAGTAACTGAGTTATTACTAAGTATCTGTGCCCTATCGTGTAAAGTGCAAACAAAAGATTTATGGATTTCAGAGTAAAGGTGTCTGACTGGAAACCTTTTTATTATTTATTGTCCATATTCAATGTTAGGCTTTCAGGAACATCCACTAGCTACGCATTAAACAGATTAAGATTTGGTTATTATACTTTGGCGCCGTCAAGTCAATCTGGATTCCTGACGAGGCACAGATTAAGTTGCTTGCATCGTAAAATATTAACATTGTGTCATACAGTCTAACATGAAAACAATCACCGTTATTTGAAAGGTTCATTTGACTACCTTTCCAGTGAAATTTCCATCCATCCATCCATTTACAGGCAGGAACTAACCCTGGGCAGTCACCAACGCACTGCAGGGTACACACACTCACACAACTACAGGGCCGATTCAGACACACCAATCAACCTAACCTGCACGCTTTTGGACCGTGGGAGGAAACCGGAGCCCCCGGCGAAAACCCACGCAAACACAGGGAGAGCGTGCAAACTGGGACCGACCCCAGGACCAGTGCTAACCAGCACACCACCCTCCAGTTATTTTTATGAGCACTTAATTATTCAATATCATATAACAAATATTATCACATACCTTTCAACAACATGTCCCTGTGCTCTCTCCCTGCTTCAGTTCCATAGCTTCACTTTCCCAATTCATCATCTCCATCTACAGCTGCTATCAGCAGAACATTATCTATCCCTGGGTTTTACTGACCTGGGGGCTGATATCACTCAGCAAACATTTCCCAGGGCTTGGCTCAGTTGTCCCACACTGCACAATGTCATTATTTATTAGTCATGCAAGATGATTTAGAAAAACACTCTGGACAAATCAGTGTTAGTCTGCAGGTTACTTTCACTGCTTGTCACTGTTGTTTATTTGCATAAAAATACAAAGATGCATGACACATTGATATGGGGACTATTAAGTCCTCAAATTTAGGTTTCCTGTTTTCACGGGGAATGTTTTACCCTGTGGCAGGTATTTCTACCCAGGTAGGGAATTCAGGGCTGGGGGGGGGGGGTAAAAACTATTGAAAATGGAGGTCCTGTGGGCCACACAGAAAGCATCCCTGAAAAAGTGACATAAAGAAGAAGAAATGAATGAAGACTTTAATTCCAGCATCATGTAGGAAGATAGGTGTTCTAAGTTCGAAGTATATAGCCTGATTTTTAGCTCACAGTAACTCTGAAGTTATGGGCACAATTGAAAATATAATTGGACTGGAATTTATTCGAGAGGAAAGTTTTACAATGTCAGTAAAAAAGGCAGTGTTCAAAGGCATTAGCTAATAACTTTTGTAACTTCTCTCCTAAGCTAAAGTGATAAGGAAAATGCCTTTGTCCTGGTACTTCTAAATTTGTATGAATTGTTTGAGAGTGGAGGTCTTCCTACAATATGCTCACATCCTGGAATTTAAATTTCCCCAACTGTCAAGACCAGATATATTGCAAACATTCTTGTGATATGCTTGGGTCCTTGTTTATTTTTATTGGATACGAGCAGGAAAGCACAAATGGACGTGTAGCTGATAGAAAAAGTGTGTTTACACTTCATTCAAAATAATAACCTGTGCATAATGGTTCTTTATCTGCATGTCCAGCCAAAACTCAGGCTCAAGTATCCAGATTAACTAAGGGGAATAATTAAATGCAGTCATGATGACTGGGAACATTTTGAAATCCCCAAACACTGTAGTTTGGATGAAGTTATGGAGTGGATGACATTCCAAAAACATAAAGATTGCCATTGGTAGAGAGTGTGGCACTGCATTCAAAGATTGTCTTCAACTCTGTGAACTTGATGCGAACTTCATCTCTATGGATACTTTTCCATGAGATGAGATATTCAGAGCCTCCATATGTCAGTGTGCGAGATGAAGGACTCGGAGGCCCAGTGTTTGGCGAACAAAAGGAGTTTATTGAACTGAATGGGAGCAGGGAAACAAACAAGACTGCAAAGGGTCAAAACGAGAAGGCGAGCACAGAGAAGGACACGGGCGGACAGGACGAGCGACGTCAATGACCGGACTGGGGCTGACGGGACAAACAGGTACTTAAATACAAAGGCTATAAAGGGGAAGCAAGCAACCGGCGTAGCTCATCAGGGTCACATGAGGGAGGAAACATGAGGGAGGAAACAGGAGGGCCAGGCGGACATGACAGGCAGGACGTGTATATATACACACACACAGTGCCAATCAAAAGTCTGGACACACTTGCTTTTAATGCATTTGTCTGTATTTTAGCAATGTTATTCAAGGCAATGAAGTAATACATATCAAATATTGCTATGACCAATAGAATTTTTCAGCATCTCAAAATTTCCTCAAATTTTAGACTCTTCAAAATAGCCCCCTTTTGCTTTGATGACAGTACTACAGACTCTTAGCATTCTTTCACCCAGCTTCCAGATGTAGCCACCTGGAATGTTTCTCAAACAACTGTGAAGGAGTTTCCACAAGTTTTTGGGCACAAGTTATCTACCTTGCTATTACTCTTTGATCCAACTCATTCCAAACTCTACAGATCTGTAGGGTTTAGGTCGGGGGATTGTGGGGGCCTGGTCATCTGTCACAGCACTCCATCTCTTTCCTTGTTCACAAGATAATACATTGCTTACATAACCTCAAGGCGTGCTAAGGCTCATTATCATGTTGAAAAATAAATGATTGTCAGTAGGTGCATCCAGACAGTAAAAATAAGCAATAAGCAATGTTTTCAGATTATACTTTACCTGCAGCTAAATAAATGTTCCTCTTCCTAAGAGCCATTTTTCCCAAATCATCCCAGACTGAGCCCCACTTTCAGATTAGGGCACCTGATGTGATCACCTTAAATCTGCCAGCTGCTCTCAGTGATATCCTGACCTACGTAAGGTTTTACCAGCCAAAAAAGAAAAGCGCATCGCTCTGTGGCTTTCCAAGAGCCGTCTGCCTAATTATGGCAAAACCTAATTACACAGGACACTCCTGGGACTCAGAGAAGCCCATTACTCAAAGGTTACCCTGAGATGAACTGTAAACGTTCCAGGTCTCAGGAAATGGGTCACGGGGGACTGGCAGCTGGAAGAAGCTGGAGTCAGAGGGCAGAAACTGAAGAGTCACATCTTGGTAAAGACCTGCTGAACTCAGTCTGCTCCATGACCACAGGGTAGCGCAAAACAGACCAGGTCTGCTCGGGGTGGTCTCAGCTGTCCTCAGACACAATTCACTGCCCTACAAGTACCTACATCCTTTTAATGATTTTGTTATCTCTTTTTTAATTAAGCATTTTACTTGGAATGCTTTAATATGCTATATATCAGGGCTCTTCAAATCTGGACCTCGATTCCAAATCCAGGCCTTGTTTTCAGTTCTCCCAGGTAGTTAGTTTAATAATTACTGACTCTGATTGGTCAGAGGCTTCACACCTGGCTCACAGGTAAAGGAAGACTGGAAAACCAGCAGTGCTTGGAGCTCGAGGACCGTGATTTGAATAGCAGGGCTATATATAATCAGAGGTGGAAATTTCAGATGCAGAAAGTAAAAATCCAGACCAAAATTTTGTTTCAACCAACCAGTTGAGTATTCTGTGACTGCCACTCTTTGTACTCAACTGGTTGGTAGAAACAAAATCCTGGTCTGGAGTTTTACTTTCTGGACCTGAAACTTCCGCCTATGTATATAATGTCAAAATATGTCAATCAATAAAATGATATGACAATTATTATCATAAAATATAAATTTTCAGAAATTGCACTTTAAAACAAATCAGATTACAGTTCCTGTGGTTTTCATATTATACAATTAATAATTCTTAGATAATTAAGACTTTCCTACTCAAAATACATCTGACATTTCTAACAAAAGAGGAATGAAATATTGAATTCCTGTATCGCAAGATTGTGTGGTGCCGCAGAGCTCTTATAGCTTTGACTTATTAGAAATAAGAGGTATTAAAAATTGATTTGGTTTGGAGGGCAATTTTTCCCAGTGCAGTTTGGCTGCTGGAGATTTGCTAACTCTTAGCGGCGTGTGAGTCAGGCTTCAAGGGAGAGGAGGGGAGGTTAGGGATGATTTTGGACTGAGCCAGTAGGAATATGACGGAAGCAAAGGAGACTTTACTAAGGTCCCAGTGCAACTGAACTGAAACAATTATTCATTAATCATATCAGTCAGCGAACGGTAATGAAATGGTCTAATGGAACACCTAAGAATAAATCCTGCCATTAACTTTAAAACAGGATATCTTTACCAAATTAGTTTTGTTTAGATTAATTAAGATCAGGATTAATTCTTTAGATCAGTGTTTCCCAATTCGGGTCCCCTGGGACCCAAAGTTGGTCCACATTTTTGCTCCCTCTGAGCTCCCTGCCAGACTGTCCACATTTTTGCTTCCTCCCCATCTCCTGGTAGAGAGGCCAGAAGGGAGCTGGGAGGGAGCAAAAACGTGGACTGTATGTGAGTCCCCGAGGACATGTGAGCACCTTTGAATGTAATACATCTACAATGGGGACAAGAGGTTCTTTTACTGCGCAGCTGAGCATTACAACAGCTAAAATGTGTGATCTAAGTGTGACTGTTGGTGCCAGACATGGTGGTTCCAGCATCTCAGCCTCCCTCCTGGGATTTTCACACACTGTAGTGTCTAGAGTTTACGGAGAATGGGGCAAAGTCCTCTTGCCAAAAACAACTTGCTAATTAGAGAGGTCAGAAGAGAATGGACAGTTTGGTCAACCCAAACGAAAGGTCACCAGTGCAAAAAGAACAGATGAGTACAGCAGTGGTGTGCAGAGAGATTCCTCTGAATGCAGAAGTCATCTTTCCTTGAAAGAAGTTCAAGAAAAATAGGGTCCTGCTTGGTACTACATAAAGGTACTGCACAGGATATAATTTTTATATAGAAATTAAATTGGCAAATCAAACAAATTGAGAAACAGCCACTAGCTAGTCATCAGAACAATTTGATTTAAAAAGAAAAATGGTTTAGTCCATAGTCCATAATTCATTCCAAATACCCAGCTCAATCAAGGGCCACAAACCATAAATACATGATGCCTTGCAAAAACCAAAGGGGAGAAACCACGCAAAGAGCAGTGTGGGGCAAGACATCCCATAGTGGTTCAGGTACTGTATCTCTGACCTGCAATGCACCAGGATCCTCAAACAGTGCCTGATTCCCAGTGACTGAGTAAGGCTTTGAATCTAATCATTTCTGATCCCCTAAAGGTGGAAAAAATGAAAGGGCCATTGTTCATGCAAGTATTTGGAAGCGATTGTGCCAACTGGTAGATATACATTCATTAACTGGTGGGCATATGGATGTCTCTACCACATCTCACCTAATGAGGCCCGATATACTGCCAGGGAGAATCATTGTTTGTTTCCTCAGTCACCGAATACCGAATGTTTGAAAGAGAGCGGAAAAATGGACGCCCATGAAAGGCGGCAGCCGGGGACGGGCGAGCCAGCGGGGCGATGTAGCGAGGCAGGGTCATTTGTCAAAGAGAAGAAACAGCCAGAGAACATACTGCAGATTTCGCAGCCAACCCCCCCCATGAA